CCACAGGGGCTCTGCTCTGCTGCAAAGGCTCATTTGTAATCCAGGCACCAGCTCAACCCCATCCCTGAGACCCTCAGCAGACACAGGAATTGATTTATTTTGGGAAGCAGTTGCTCATTCTGCAACTTCTGCATTTCTCTCTGTCATCTGACAACCAAACAAGAGGCAGACTGCAAAATCACCTCTCTGACAAACCCAATCCACTCAGCCAGTCAAAACTGTTCTTTAGAATAACTTGCTTGCTCATCTGCAGCTGCATTTCAAAGACAGTGTGTCAATAAAATGCCTAAATGAAAACTTAACAATTATCCTAGGCGTTAGCTTGTCTCCATCATAATATTGAAGGCAAGACTCTACAGTGAACATAAAAATTCAGTGGCAATCATGATTAATAAGCAAAATCATGTCAATTCCATCATAGTTATAAATTTATTTTTTGTGGAGTTGCAGAGATGCTTGGGGATGCCCTGCTTTTCCAGGGGGAAAGTCCAAGGATGTCCTGGCTCTGACACAGTGGGAACAGCAATACTGGCAGCAGTTTTGCCCTTTAAAATAGACCATGCCACACCACCCAGAAAATGCTGGGTTAACCACTGTCATTGGGGTGCTTCTTGTGTTTTAAGACTGACTTGTGAGTTTTTAAATTTCAGTGTTTTGGATCCAAAGCATTCAGCTCACCTAATTCATTAGCTGAAATTCAGAAGTCTACTAATAATCTGTCTCTCTAGCCTAGGTAATTTCAGAGTAGCCAGGATGAAAGATTAGAGAATTCCACAGGGAACAATCTTGCACTGTGGAGGACTTAAAAAACCCAAAAGCTCTCTTCCTTTCTCTATTTTGTACTGTTCTAATGCTTTAATGACAAGCACAAAAATCCTTCCCTCAAAGCAGTATCAATGCCTGGTGTAAATGCCTAACCACCCAGATTAACACCTTGCAGTACAGGAGATAAAGCCAAATAGCTTTATCTAACTGCCACTTATTTTACATTACTTAATACAAGGTTTTTTTGCAACCGTCACTTCTTTTACATTACTTAATACAAGGTTTGACTTTGAGCTCATGGGAGAACAAGAAAGGAGAAATAACCCTTGGGAAATTACAAGCCCATATATTCCACATTGTATAATTTTCTGCCCCGTGGAAATGGAAATTTGGGATCCATGATTTCTTCTGCAGCCTAAAAACTGAACCACATCTGAGGATCACAGGGACAAGGTGATAAAATTCTATGCATCCGTACTGCAGAGCAGCAGCGCTCCTGGCTTTGATGCTGTCTTGGAAGAGCAACTGTAAGTTCTTAGTAACATAATTTCAGTTTCTGCACTGCCAAGGAAACTCACTTGAGAAAAAATAAAGTTGCTCACAACAAAAGAACAGACAGCTTAAGTCACACCATAAGTACATCCATCCTGGTACTGGCATCCCACCATGGCCACCAACATCCAGGCTACAATACGTGTTGTCCAACTCCTGTCCTCCAGCAAACTGCAAATCCTATCTGCTCTAAGCAAGAGACCCCATCCCTTTCTTTCAGTGGTGTCTTCTAGATAATTCCTCCCACAACTAGGTCTGAATACAGCATTCACTGCAGCCTGCAGCATTTCCCACCTCATGAAACCTCTCCCCTTCCCTGGTCAGGTAAGTGGAGGAACAAGGCAGAACCACAACTACAGACAAAAGCCCAGCAGTGAGACCTACGAATTAAAAACCTGTCATAATGAGTGTTTCTGTCAGATCCTGCATTTATTGTCGCTCTGTCTGTGGCTGCACTGATGTGTTTGTTGATGCATCTCTGTGTTGGCAGTGCTAGCTGGTCTGAAAGAGCTACAGGAGGGTATTGAGGAAGGAGAGGAATGACAGCAGAAAAATGTTACCACCCTGGATAACTGGAGGGCCAGAGCCTCCCACTTCAGCAACATACAGACTAAAAATAATGATATGCCAATGATAAGCCTTTGTGCTCCTCTCTCTTTTTCCTGTTTCACCAAACACCACAGTACAGTCCGGGTGGCTTCAGAGGCACCAGTACCTCAGTGGCACGGGCTGACGACAGCACCCTGTTCCATGGTGGCTCCCACAGGGCAGGAGAGTGCTCAGGTCACCTGGCACAAGCCTTTCAAAATCTCAGAGGCTTCTCCAGAGAATTTACTGAGCCTGGCAAGCACTGGTCAATGAGTGTCCACAGAACACTACCACAGCACGGCAGTAACACTGTAAATGCCACTGTGACAGCACAACAGCCACAGTACAGAAGGCTTCTTCTCAGCTCCAGACATCTGTTGTGATCTTCCCCCGCGCCACGCTCCTGCCCTACACATTTGCTGACCTTCCCTCTGGGTAAGCCAGGCTCCCACAGCTCCTCAGGGAAGCACACTGCTAACCCTCCCCAAATAGAGGGTGGGATCATTCTGCCCGCTCCTGTCAGCTCTTCAAAAGAAGGCAAGACCAGGAAAAGTGAAAGGTGTTTGAATCTCACCGCTGTGTCTCAGGAAGCTCTAAGACGTTTAAATACTACAGGCATCAGGGCTGTTCTGAGCAACTTCCCTTAATTTCTCTCTCATTCATGAGTTAATTCAAATAGAAATCCTTCCACATTTTTTTCATCCTCTCAAAAGGAACATGTGAGGGAGTTTATCTGTGCAAATCTTTATTATCACCTTATTGCTCATGGTGTGAAATAATGTAAGGAGGCATTCAGCATCATAAAGGATCACCAATAAGGACATGATGCAATGAAAGATACTGTATAAATACTGTGCAACAATTGGCAGCAAACATTGATGTATAAATAACATGTTCACATTTAGATGAACAGGAGTTTAATTTAAAATTATACAAGTAGCCATCATTTTAGCCATCTAAACTGCTTAGGGTTGCCAGCAGTACATCCATCTGACTCAATAGTTCCAAACGGTTTTTTGTGAAGATGGAATTGCACCATGAAGCAGCATGAAGCACCATGAATCAGCAGAGAGGGTGAAGAGCACAAAGAGCATGAAGAGCCGACATCTGGCTAAGGTCTGGCAAATCCCTTTGTGCTCAAGCATATCCAGTCCTACAACCAATGCAGCACAGCCAAGCCCTGACCCAGCATATTCCAGTTTAGCACCTTACTGAGAACTCCTACTCCACAGTTTTGGTGTACTTGGTTTGGAAAAAATGGTCTGTTTTGTTCTGGCTGGAGACATGGTTGAGAGGAGCCAGGTCTATAGATATCCAAGGGATTCACTGAGGTTGGCTTTCTAACTTGAACACCAAACAGTTTTTGGCAGATTAACTTTTCTAGCTGTTTTGCCACAGATCTACACAGAGCAAGATTAACCTACACAGAATCAGAAAGGCTGAGTGTAACAGAAGACATGCCACTTCCAAAACTCCTTTTAGTGTGGGCAAACCCAGCCCCACAAGACTCTGACACAACATATAAAAGCAGCCAAATATACATTATTTTAAAAAAGAGAAAAGTCAGTAATTAGCAACACTATCAAGCTACAGCAACAGGATCTACACGTGGGTTTGAGTTAATTCTCTAAGCACATTTCCCAGAACTTGTTTCGCATTTTTAAATTAACTGCTATATTAAATTCAAATTAAACAGTCAAGCACATTCAGAGGATGCAATTTATTGCTACGCTAGTAGCCCAAATACATTTGCCAATTTCTATAGGCACAACAAAATCAGGTCATTAATGAAGTCTGTTAGAACTTCACGAGCCAAATAAATTGCAAGGATATGACAGGACAGGCTGCACATGGGAAGGAGGTCCCTGGATTTCAGCAGCACTCAACTCTGCTTGCATTGAAGCCAGGGAAAAGCCCATCTACCCTGTGATCTGAAGAAAAGAGGAAGAAACCCCGGCAAGCAGCTACACCAAGCTCCAGCATCCTTCCATCTCACCTTGGTCCTGGACTCCAGAGGTGGCTGTGGCTGGGAACATGCATCTCCAGGAACATGCATCAACAGGTCCAGACCATGGTTCTGCTCCCTCCAGGCCCAGACATCCACCAACCCCACAGTCCTGTGCAGCGGGTATCTCCCACCCGTTCAGCCCCTCTGTCATCTCACATTACCTCCAAATTATAGAACCCACTTAAGCCAAAGAGGTTTTGAAAGGATGTTATGGTCTATGCAATCGAACTGAGCAACCAAGCTCCAGGAAAGAAAAAGATAAGAAGGAAAAAGCTTTGATTGGTTTCTCATTCCACCCCTCAATATATTACCATATTCATTAAAATACTGATGTCTTAATTTCCTTCCCAGCCCAGCGATATGCGCCCAGGAACGATCTCTCTGAGAATCAGCACCTTCCATCCTTCCACACACTCCCCTCTGCCCCCACACACTCGTCCCCTGTGCTCGTGGCCATCCCAGCGACTGAACCCCAAACTTGTATCACTGAACCGCAGCGCCTCCTCTCTGGGTGCAATCCCCCCCCACCAGGGCACCGGCAGCCCCCAGAGCCGCTCTGGAGTGCGGCTGCTGTGCGCAGCCCTGGCGGTGCCCGTCCCCTCCGCCTGACCCGCACTCCCGCACTGGCCCCGCTCGGCGCCCTGAACTGTGCCAGGGTCACCGGGACCCGCCGGGACCCTCTCGTGCCCGGGGTGGCTCCAGGACAGCTCCAGGACACTCGTCGCGAGGCGCTGTGAGCCCGAGAAGTCCATGGCGCGGATCGCCGTCCCCTCCGCGCACCGCGACTGCAGGACCGGCCGGAGGCGGCACGGAGCGGGACGAGAGGGGCCCTGCCCGGCGCGGGGCTCCGGAGCTGAGTGGGAAGGGAACGCAACGCCGGCTGGGGGCTCCCGCGCCCTTTCCCGGGGACATACAGCACCTCTGTCCAGGGGTGCCGCATCCTGCCCCGGTCACCCCGCATCCCTACGCGGGAGGGACCCTGCACCCTGGCCGGGGTCTAGCGCTACCACCGCTGGCATCCTCCCGCCCCTCCGCTGCGACGCTGGAGGGAACTTGTGCGAGGAATGACGCGGGACCACGCTCGTACCTGTGTATCCGCGGGGACCGCCGCTGTCCCTCCCTAGCGCAGAGGAGCGCAGCCCGTCCAGCCCGGCTGTGCTGGCGGCCGGCATGACTCCGCCGAGCGCCGCCGCGCCGAGGCGCCCGGCAGGTGCACCGGGCCCGGACCCGGACCCGCCCTCCGCCGGGGCCGGCCCGGGGGGAGCAGCGCAGCACGGCCCGTCCCGCGGAGCCCCGCCGGGCGCCCGCCCCGCGGCCCCTCCGCGACACCCGCGGCGTGGGGGAGGAGGGGCAGCGGAGCGAGAGGAGGCTGGCGCAGCCGGGCCGCCGTCGGAGCCTCGGGGCCGGGGCCAGCGCCTGCCCTGACCGCCTCGGGGTTTGGCCGTGCCCTGACCGCCTCGGGGTTTGGCCGGGCCCTTCCCCGGCCCGCGCGGCGCGCCACGAGCGGCCGGTCGGGGATGCGGTAACGGTCGCGGCGCTGGGCAGGGACTGCCCGGCCCTCGCTGCCCGCCCTGCCGGCCCTGCCCGCCGCCTGTCCCCCGCTGCCTACCCCCCGCTGCCTGTCCTGCTTCCTGCCTGCCACCTCCTCCTCTGCCTGTCCTCCTCTGCTGTCTGCCGTCAGTCCCCGATGCAGCCAGGCTGGTGGTCAGAGCCTGCAGAGCCTCAGGTACCCCAGTCTGGTTTTCATGGTTCTGATCTTGCAAACACAGTATACTGCTCTTTATGTGGTTATATTCCAGGAGCAGAATCTCTCGCATACATCCAGTTTATGGTCCACAAAATTGTGTTTGTTTTCGCTGGGATCTGCAGCTAAACCCACTGGTAGGTTCCCAGATCCATCATCCTGTCTGGAGCTGGGTGGCACACACAAACACACACAGGCTACTTGGTGAAACCCAAGTGCCTTGCACATGCTGCATGTGTCATTTTGTGCTTGTCACATCCTGGCCATGTCACCCCTTGTCATTTACTGCCCTTGCAGCATTACCACAGTGAGTCTGGGTCTCAGCATTGTTTGTTGAGATCCTTGATTTACTGACACCGGCAGTGGATCCAAAAAAGGCCTTTAATGGTCTGCACTGTGTGTCCACAAAAAAACAAGAGGAGAAACAACTGGCTCTGCTGAGGAAGCTCTGAGTGTTGGTGCTGAGCCTATAGTCTGAGGCCCACACCAAGCACTGCAGCTATTAACACTCTCTCCACTTGTTACACCCTCTCATTATTTTTTTCATCTGGAATTAGAGAGTAAAAATAGTCTTCAGGAGAAGATTAGAGAAATTAATTTCCAAGGTGCACCAAATAGACTGAAAAACCTCTTAAAGCTCTTCTGGAAACATCAAATGGAACAGGATCATGCCCACATTAAAAGGTGACACCGCTCAGTATGCTGCTGGCCATAGCGCTCTTTCCTATGAACTTATCTGTCAGTGAGGACCTCAGGAATATTGCAGATATAAGGGTCTGCAGGACCTCAGGAATATTGCAGATATAAGGGTCTGCTATTTCCATCCCTACTACTAAACCACATTCAAAAAGCAATGCTTGGTCACATTATAGCAAAACCCCAGCATTTTTGAAAATGCTGCAGCTTATAAATTAGCTTTGTATTTCCGGTAATGCCAAATATTAATCAATCTAATTAAAGTCAACAAGACACTGTAGCTGCTCCAGTCAAGTCCAGTGGAACCAGAGGAATACCAAAGACAGAGTAGTTTTTCTGTAAGCCACTACCCCTGCAGCTGCTGTTACACAATTCAAGTCAAATCTTTCCTTACTCACAGAAGCAAATTAAGCAGTGCACTCACATTGTGGCAGCATTCAGATTTGCTTTGTAAGGGAATGTATAACCCAACAGCACTGGTTTTGCTCCACATGTCCTCAAACACTGCAGGCAGCCCTGTGGTGTGACACCCCAGAACATCACTCACCTTCCTAGTTGCAGGTGAGTGCTTTCATCATTTTTAAGGCCCCTGGTTTCATCTTCAGCATCAGGAGAAGCCATACAGCCTCAGCCAGACACTTACTGTTTTTTCTTAGGGATTATTTAACTGTTGGATTTCACTAAACTGCCCTACACTGCTTTATTTTAATCCTAGTTATTAGAGCTGCCCCCAGGCATGCCAAGGGCACAAGACTACTGAAGTGACAGTCCCCAGCAAAGCTGCCTGGATGGCTGCAGGGGACTGCCTGCCCCTCACTGCCCACCCAAACAGGGACATGCTCCCAGATCCCAGCCCAGTGATGACAGCTTTCCAGCCCTCCAGCAGCAAGCTGATCCCCATTCTCCTCTCCTGGCTGGCCCTGCTGCCATCCCCTTCTTCCCTGAGCCTCAGGAGCTGAGGCTGGCTCAGCTGAGCATCAGCCCCTCAGACCCAGGCAGTGAATCTTGGGTTTGCCTAGACTGCTCAGAGCCTTAACCATAAAGACCCCTTTTGCTTGTTCTGTAGCTCTCATCCTCAGCTTCTGTTTAATCAGATTACACATGCACAGGTGTGATACCTAAAAGCTCAGCAATAGATTGCTGAAAGAAAAATGCGACCTTTAGAAGGGACATTAAATGATCTGTTGGGTTGTCAGATCTGTTGCTGATACTGGATCAGTGGTGTGCTACTCGCCCAGGGAGATGGCTTCACTTTGCCCCCTGACTTTTCCTTTTCCTCCTCTCCCAGCTATAGGTTTCACTCACAGTATCACAGTATTAACTAGGTTGGAAATACCTTTGAGATGACCTAGTCCAACCTATGACCTAACAACACTTTGTCAACCATACCGTGGCACCTAGTGGCATGTCCAGTCTTTTCTTAAACATCTCCAGGGACGGGTGACTCGATGTCCTGGCGTGTAAGATAAGCATGCCATCTGTTGGAGGTTGGGCAGTTTTCTTATCTCTTTCAAGAACAATGTCTCCCCCCCCCCGGGGTGATATCTTCTGTTAATGGGCCATTGAATGACTCACTGCATGACTGGTAAAGTTACATCATCCCATTGGGAGATGCTCCACCCAGAGGGAGGAGCCAAGCACCTCTACCTGCATAAAATCAGCATTTTTTGGACCATCAGGGCAGCCTCGTCGCTGGATTCCCAGAGGAGCAGCTTCTTCTCTGCTGGATCCCCAGAGGAAGATCAGGCCCATCTACTCCATCACCAGACCTTCACAGAAAACTACACCCTTCTAGAGATTTCACCCTTCAGCAGCATTTCATCTGCCACTCCAGGAGGAGCAGCCACCATTTAACTGGACTATTACCAACACTCTGATTCCTCAGGGTGTCAGGTTTCTGACTCTATCAGTAGTTTTGTTTGTACTAATTACATTTTTTTATTTAGTTTTTTTTTCCCTAGTAAAGAACTGTTATTCCCATTCCCATATCGTTGCCTGAGAGCCTTTTAATTTTGAAATTGTGGTAATTCAGAGGGAGGGGGTTTACCTTTTCCATTTCACAGGAGGCTCTTGCCTTCCTTCACAGACTCCTGTCTTTTCAAACCAAGACACTCCACCACCTTCCTGGGCAACCCTTTCCAATGCCAAACCACTCTTTATGTGAAGAATCTTTTCCTCATGTTAAGCCTAAACTTCCCCTGGTGCAGGATAAGGCTGTGTCCTCTTATCCTCTTGATTGCCTGGGAGAAGAGCCCAGCCCCAACCTGGCTAAACCCTCCTGCGAGGGAGTTGTAGAGAGTGATGAGGTCTGCCCTAAGTGTCCTCTTACGCAGGATAAACAACCCCAGCTCTCTCAACTGCTCCTCACAGGACTTGTGTTCCAGACACCTCAGCAGCCTTGTTGCCCTTTTCTGGACACGCTCCAGCCCCTCCATGTCCTTCCTAAACTGGGGGGCCCAGAACTGGACACAGCACTCAAGGCAGAGAGTGGAACAAGATGGGCTTTAGGGTTGCTGCCAATCCAAACCATTCTGTGATTCTATGATAGACATGGGCATAAAGTATGGCTTTTCTCAGCAGGGAGGAGTGATGCTCCCCTGTGTGGAAGAAACCAACCTGGTCCTGTACCAGGGACTACTGCATGCAGGGACCTGGAGAGTCCTTTCTGCCAAAGACACACTGTATGCCCACGCCCAGCTCCATTTTGGCTCTTCCAGTGACTCTGCTGGGCTATCAGTGGCACAGAGCTCTGCCGTGCTTGTGTGCTCATGTAAAGATGGTTCACAGCTGATAACATGTGACTTGCTTGCCTGCTGCAAACTCCAGTGTGTTTTCCTTGTTTCTGGTAGGTGTTAGGGAGGTGCTGGATTCAGCTTGGGGCCACAGCTCAGGAACTATTTTCTTGTGTTACCATTAAGTGCAGTCCAGTGCCACAGTATAGAAAAACACAGCAGCACACAGTTACGTAGATCCATATAATACATATAATACATATTTTCAGCCTCCGATATTTCATCAGAGCCTGAAAATGCTAAACTAAGTTTAGGAGGGAACATTTTTGTTCCTTCTTTTATAGAAATTAATAAATACAGTGTGACAGGCCAAGTGGTATCAATACACATTCTGTTTTGTAGCTTGGAAAAACAAACACTCTGAGAACAATCGTTTGTGTCTTCATTCCAAGATACAATGTTGCTGTGAACAAAAGCTATCTCCTCCAGCACTGGGGTAATCAGCACAATTCCAGTTACTAATTTACTAATTTCCTTGTCCTAATATCTACTTTTTACAAATGTCAGGATATTCATTCTATATCTGGTCATTCTCTACCAGATAGGAGCTCTATATTTTATAAGCTTAAAGTAAACAAAGAAACAGAATGGTTAAGGGACCTTTAAGTCCATCCAGTTCCACCCCCTGCAATGGCCAAGGACACCTTCCACTGTCCCAGGCTGCTCCAAGACCCATCCAACCTGGCCTTGGACACTTCCTGGAATGGGGCAGCCAAAGCTTCTCTGGGCAGCCTGTGCCAGGGCCTCACCACCCTTCTAGTAAAGAATTTATTCCGAATAGCCAGTCTAACACTGCCCTCCTTCAGCTTACAGTTGTTCCCCTTGTCCTATCACTCTATGCCCTTGTGAATAGCAAGTAATTTTCCCTCATTTCAGAGAAACACCACTCTCTTGGTGGAACCTGCTCAGAAGCTGTCCTGAACCATGGTGCCGGGGTGAGGTTTGTATGGTGAAGTTGGCACATGTGATCAAATCCTGGCGATCTGATCTGTAGCTCAGAAGATTGAGCTCATGTGACACCAGAAACTTTATACCCTTGCAAAAGATGCTTATTAGATTTGCTTTTATCCCTTCAAAACAGCAACAGGAAGCAATCTCTAAGGAGCATAGTAAAGCGTTAGTGTGCTGTTCCTGAGTGACAATTTCATTACAGACTTACAGAAATGCATTATTATCCTAAACCTAGTGCATACTTCAGAAATCAGGGAAGAATTGCTAACATGCCACAAATTTGACACAAAATTGATCTCTCA